CTTGAGCAAGACGAGGGCACTATTTTAGGTCAGGATAACCTAAAAACATATATTACCGACTATTATAAGCAGTTATTTGGACCTCCGGAGGATAATTGTGTGTCCCTCGATAAGTCCAGGACTGAGGACGTACCTCAGCTATCAGCTGCTGATAATGATATTCTGGTTGCCCCGTTTTCGGAGAAGGAGGTTTTTGATGCTATTGCACAGATGAAAAACAACAAGGCTCCCGGACCGGATGGATTCCCGCCAGAGTTCTATAAAAAGTGCTGGCACATTATTAAGGGGGATTTACTACCTATGTTCCATGATCTGTTCTCCGGACAACTTCAATTATTTCACTTGAATTTTGGGACTATCACACTGCTTCCTAAGAAGACGGATGCTGTGATAATTGAGCAATTCAGGCCGATCTGTCTCCTCAATATTAGTTTCAAAATTTTCACCAAGGTCGTGACTAACAGACTCACACAGATTGCGCATTCTGTGGTGCAACAGTCCCAAACTGCTTTCATGCCGGACAGAAATATCCTTGAATGGGTGGTCGTCCTGCATGAAACACTCCATGAAATACATTCCAAAAAATTAGATGGAGTAATTTTTAAGGTGAATTTCGAGAAAGCGTACGATAAGGTCAAATGGCCATTCCTCCAACAGTCATTGCGTACGAAAGGTTTTGATGAAGCCTGGCGCCGACAGGTTGAATCATTTATGCAAAAAGGTAGTGTGGGAATTAAAGTTAATGATGACATAGGTCATTACTTCCAGACACATAAAGGCCTCAGACAAGGAGATCCGATGTCCCCTATCTTGTTTAACATTGTGGTGGATATGTTAGCAATCTTGATAGGAAGGGCTAAGGAAAATGGTCAAGTAGGTGGATTGGTACCTCATCTTATTGATGGAGCTGTATCCATCCTTTAGTACGCTGATGATACAATCATCTTCATGGAGTATGACTTGGCCAAGGCTAGAAATATGAAGCTTGTGTTATGCCTTTTCGAACAATTGACCGGGTTAAAGATTAACTTTCATAAGAGCGAGCTGTTCTGTTTTGGTAGGGCCAAAGATGAATAGGATGCTTATAGGCAATTGTTTGGGTGCGAGTTGGGAGAGTTACCCTTCTCCTACCTGGGGATTCCAATCCACCATCGTAGGCTGACAAACAGAGAGTGGAAGTGCATCGAGGACCGATTTGAGAAGAAACTGAGCTGCTGGAAGGGTAAGCTCATGTCATACGGAGGCCGATTAATCCTGATTAATTCGGTGCTCACGAGCATGCCAATGTTTCTCCTATCGTTCTTTGAGGTCCCAGTTGGTGTTAGGAAGAGACTGGACTTCTATCGATCGCGTTTCTTTTGGCAGGGTGATGAGCTTAAAAGAAAATATCGGCTTGCTAAATGGGATATCATCTGTAGACCGAAAGACCAAGGGGGTCTAGGTGTTGAGAATCTAGAAGTTAAGAATAAATGCCTTCTTAGCAAGTGGCTGTGGAAGCTCTCATCGGAGACTGATGCTATGTGGGCTCAAATCCTTCGCAGCAAGTACCTCCAGACAAAAACTTTGTCCCAGGTTACAGTCAGGCCGACCAATTCGCCTTTCTGGAAAGGCCTGATGAAAGTCAAACATGCCTTATTTAATAGGACGAAGTTTGTTATTGTAAACGGCTCGAGTACACATTTCTGGGAGGATACTTGGCTTGGCGAGACACCCCTGACCATCCAATATCCGTCTTTGTACCGCATTGTTCAACGACGTGAGGTATTCGTCGCATCGGTCTTTCAGTCTACCCCCCTTAATATCCAGTTCCGATGAACACTAGCGGGCAACCGTTGGGAAGAATGGCTCCGTCTAGTTAGGAGACTGATGGACGTCCAGCTTTCCCAACAACCCAATGAATTACGCTGGAAACTGACTAAGTCTGGAGTATTCACGGTTAAATCAATGTATATTGATGTTATTAATTCGAACTCCATTCCTATGTCTAAGCATGTTTGGGATGTCAAAGTTCCTTTGAAAATAAAAGTGTTTATGTGGTTTGTCCATAAACAAGTTATTTTAACTAAGGACAACTTGATAAAGCGTAATTGGACAGGACCTACTAGGTGTAGTTTCTGCGATCGGGATGAGACTATCAAACACCTCTTTTTTGATTGCCCGTTGGCCAAGGTACTTTGGCAGACAGTCCACATTGTTTTTAATATCAATCCACCGACTTCTGTTAATGCGTTATTTGGGACTTGGCTTAATGAGATTGAGCCTGGTTTAGCGAGACATATTCGGGTTGGAGTTTGTGCTTTGCTGTGGACTATCTGGACTTGCAGAAATGATTTGGTCTTTAACAGAATATCATGTATACATTTTTTGCAGGTCATATTCCGAACTACGGCATTGATCCGTTCGCGGTCGCTACTCACCCAGACAGAGGCCAGGGAGCATTTGGTTACTGGATCTTTCCGCTAGGAGATGGTAGCTCGGGATATCTTCAACCGGTTTGGATGGCGGTCATGTAATATGATAGGTACTTAGTTTCCCTATCTAGTTTGAGCCGGCCGGTTGTGGCATCTTGTCTTGGCTAGTTGATGTTTCTAGCCTTTATTTGGCTCTGTGTGAGCTTTCTGTACTTTTTTTTACTTTTGGAAACCTTTGGAACCATATTGGTACTTCTTTATTTGGTTAATAAGATGGCCGTATGTATCGTTCTGATGCAGAGGCCGGGGAATCCCCTTTTCAAAAAAAAAACACATCCACGGCACGAGAGCCGCGTGCACACTCGTGCGCCTACGTCGCTCATTTGCTCACACTCCTGCTTGAAATCATCCAAGCAGAAAAGAGGGAGAATAATAAACTGAACCACCGTGGAGAAACATGAAATGACTCTGCTGCCACGACGAATGAAGTGATTGGAATATTTTTGTTGATAGCTTACCAAGTTGACCACTTGGTCACGACGAATGAAGTGGTGGCATGGCGTCAAACAGCGAGATGATACATGTCATTAGAGCATATACAATCGGGCGCTCTAAATCCGTCTCAAACATCCGGACGGACTGACCGGTCACAAAAAATTGACCCATCCGAGAGCCTCAAACGGGTCTCAAACGTCAGTCCGACACCACTTATATCTAGCCCAAATATGAGGTGGATATGGGACGCCCGGGCGTGCTCGTCACGTCGGCTTGGCCCAGCCTACCCCACGCCTCCCCACAAATATCCCCATCAGGAAAACCCTAGACCGCAGTCAACCCGAACTCCACTTCCCTCTCATCTCCATCCGCTCCATTTTCGATCCCCTCTAAACGCATCCGATTAACGAAGAAGGGTTTTCCTTCATTTTATATTATAAAGCATACCATCAACCACAAGTTCAAGGTTCATGAGCAACAAAAAAAAACAAGAGATGGGAGGGAAGTTTGTTGTGTTGTGCCTCCAAACGCATCTGATGGTTGGCGGCCGAAGGAGCGCTGCCTCCGGTGGGGACTCCGGCTCCGACGACGACTGGGCTAGCCTTCTGCGTGAAGCGGAGCCCAACGAAGTGGAGAAGGTCGCCCTCCGCATCACATTGAGGTGTTCGATCGTCGTCCAAGGCAGATCTGGCAACGGCGGATCCACTTCGTTTCTGCCTGCGCCCGTCGACACAGCGTCGGCGACGTCTCCGGCCCATCCCGCACAACACGTAGCTCCGGCCACTCTGCTACACCCTCCAGGTACGCCGTCCACCACCACCACCCTCTGCTCCGGAGGTGGTACCCGGCCACCGCCGGGTCCTCATACCTGCGCCGGGGCCGGTGCACACTCGGACGCCCGAGTCGGAGGCACAACAGCCCGGCGCGAGCAGCGGCGGGCTAGGCAGAGGGCAGCGGCGTCCGAGTCGATGTCCACGCGCGAGCACGCTAGTCGATCCCGAGGCAGCGCTCCTCGTGTCTGTCCTCCGCCGCTCTCTCACGACGATGGAGACGGATGCGTGGCGCCTCCGCCGTAAAAATGACAAGGCGCTCCGACTCGCCATCGAGTTGTCGGAGCGCGAAGCAACCAAGGAGGCGGCGGCGAAGGCGAAGGCGGCCCGCCATGCAAAGGAGCAGGACTGCCTGCTCCGCAGGCTGTAGGGCATGAGGTGCAGCCCCGACTCGGATATAATGGACGGCTCCACCTCCAGCTTCGACGACAACGTGCCTCCTCACACCGACGCCAACGTGAAGGAGGGGCACAGCCGCGCCAATGACCGGAAGGGGAAGATTTCGGCTTGGAAATGGTGATTTCCTCCATCCTTCGCCCTTGTGCTTATATTTTAATTAGTTTTTAGTATGAATTTGCATTGTTCGCCATTGAGCTCCAACTAACTATGCTCCTTTTGTCCAGCGATGAAATGGTGATCTAATGGATTGCATGTGATGATCTTTTTTTCCTAGTGTTGCATGCTTTGTATGATTTTGAGGTTTCAGATATGAAGGACGCGGGTGTACAAGCCAACAAATAAGGCGTGCCCAATCAGTGTCCACAGACGCATCCAAACGCGTCTGCAGGCGTTTGAGGGACTGGATTTGACCATCATGGCCGTAGATGCTCTTAGATCAGCGGGGGACGAGGGGAGTGCATGCATGGACGTGCATCCAAAGCTCCAAAGATGAGTAAACAACATTTCTGACCATGGTGGATCACATGCATTCGCTAAGCGCAGCGAATGGCGGGATCCGTTGAAGATCGGCTTTGATTTCCTCAGCAGTAAACTCGTCTCAAAGTACCCGGAAGATCACATGCGTGTTTGTATTAGCTTAAGCGCGTACTCCATGTATATTATCTCAAAAACAACTGCGTAAGATCTACAGGCGGATTAGATTAACGAGCCACTACCTGCCTGCAACCCCATCCATGACATCACAAAAATTGTACGGGACTCGATTGTTCAACTACTAACTGATCCACTTATACAATAAATAACAAAGTGAGAAAAGGTTGTGTGCCCTACCTAAGCATTTACACCCTACGTACGTACTAAACCTTTACGAAACCACCATCTTGCTGGCCGGCTTAGGTCCAACGGCGGAGATCAACGCCGACGTCTTCTCCTGGAGAACGCGCACCACGTCCGTCATGGACGGCCGGAGCCCGGAGCTGACGTTGATGCACTGCAGCGCGAGCGCCGCCACGGTCACGGCCTCCTCGCGATCGTACGCGTCTCCCAACCTCCTGTCCACCACGTCGGCCACCTTCCCCTCGCTGACCACGGGCGCCACGGCGACCGTGAGCCGGCACCCCGTGTCCGCGCAGATGGCCTCCCGCCCGGTCACCAGCTCCAGCAGCAGCACCCCGAAGCTGTACACGTCGCTCTTCTTGGTGGCCACGCCGGAGCGGAGGAAGTGCGGGTCCACGTACCCCGGGGAGCCCATGACGTGGCGCGCTGACGCCCTGGCCGCGGCCGGGAGGACCGCGGCGGAGAAGCCGACGTGCGCGAAGCCGAAGTCGCAGAGCTTGACGTCCATGTTGGCGTCGAGCAGGACGTTGGACGCCTTGACGTCGCCGTGGATGACCGCGGGGTCCTGGCTCTCGTGGAGGTACTCCAGCGCCATCGCCACCTGGAACGCGGCGGCCATCCGCCGCGCCCACGGCAGCGCCGCCCGCTTCTGGCCGCTCCGGTGGAGCCTCTCGTGCAGGTCGCCGTTGGGGGCGTACTCGAACACCAAGACGCCCTCCTCTGCACGCGGGAAAGAATCAAGATCAGCGCTCCAGCCAGAACTCCATTGCCTCGTTCGTAGAAATGTGGATGGGTTGACCAAGAAACGGACACCGATCGTGGTGGGTGTGTACCTCGTTCGTCGCAGTAGCCGAGGAGGCGGACGATGTGGGGATGGCGCACGGACAGGAGCACGTCGAGCTCCTGGCGGAAGACGCGGTGGAGGCGCTCGCTGCTCCGCTGCACCTTGACGGCGCCGAGGCGGGAGGAGGTGAGCGACGCCAGGTACACGGTGCTGAAGCCGCCCTGGCCGATCACGCGGGACGAGAAGCCGCCCGTGACCGACTCGACCTCGGCCCACTCGAGCCGCCTCGCCCGCCCGCTCTTCCCGGCCGACGACGCCGACCCGCCGCCCGGGTCGGCCGAGACGCGGGAGTCCGTCCGGCCGGCGTCATGCGTGTCGCGCTCGCCGCGGCGGAGGCAATCCAACAGCCCGCACCCGGGCAACATTCCGCGCGCCGCGGCAACACACCACACACACACCGTGCGTGCCCGAGGAGCGTCGTTGATGGAGATAGCTAGCTACTGGAATAGATCGAGAAGGCTCTCTTCCCGTCGCTGTTGTTGCTAGGTGGGAGTGCGTATTTTTCTCTCTGGCCGCGCTCGGGAGATGCCTGCGCGCGCGAGAGGGGCCGGGTCAAAGAACGGGCACTGGAGTCCGTTGTTATATACGCGAGCTGTCAGTTGAGTGGGGCTCCACTAATCATTGCGCGTAAAGAAAGGCTCAGGCCGCTTTGAGATGTGTGACGCCTCTGTGCAGTCCTGCGCACTCCTATCGTCATGCACTACTCCTCCTCCTCCCCTGCATTTATCGGCAGGTGTGTTTTCCACAAACAATTAAGAAAACATTCTCGAATTCCTGATTGGACTGTTGAGAGGTGCAGCGAGGGAGGTCCCTTAATTTTTCGACAGGTATTTCCATCTGTCAGCAGTGGGCACGCACGCACTACTACTAGATCGGATGCACGGAGCGTGACGTCCTACCGGCGAACCGGCACCAAGTGGCGGGACCTTTTCCTCGTGTAGTGTAATGGCCTGTTTCATTAACAAAGCATTGCCAATGGGATCCCAGGGCAAGTGCGCTTATGGTACTGTATGAAATCCCAAAGGGAGATGTCCGAGTTGTGGAGCAGACAAGAGCAACGGCCAATGGGAATTCGACTTTCAGCGGACGTGCTTGCTTACTGCGCTGCAAAAGGTAAGTACAGTACATTTACATGCCGTTGTGCGGCCACATGGCACTGTGAACCCACTAGCCAGATCCTATCCTACTTGTTGCCCATTACTACTGGTTTACTGCGCTGTCGATGGATTTACTGCGCACCCGAGGGCCGGCCCCTGGATTAATGCAGATTCTGCTACGTACTACTGTCCATGGATTTCTGCTTTTTCACAGTGGAGCACTGCACTATGCATTGCATCTTATCCTGCCCAACGACTACTGTGTTAAAATTATACGACATTTCAGTTTTCGGAAACGATGGGCATACGCCTGTATGTACTTCCTTCGTTTCTTTTTAGTCTGCATATAAAATTTGATCAAAGTGAAACTTAATCAACTTTGACTAAGTTTATAGAAAAGAACATCAGGACTCATAACATGAAATCAATATTGTTAGATGCATCATGAAATTAATTTTCACACCATATAGTTTTAGTATAGTAAATCTTGATATTTTTTTCAACAAAGTTGGTCAAACTTTATAAAATTTGACTTTGACCAAATCTTATATGTAGACTAAAAAGAGACGGAAGGACTATGTATGAACACCGCTAGACCAAGCACGTGCGGGCCTGAGCACGCGCTTCAGATGTTGACTAGGCAAGGCACAGATCCATGACTGTGGAAGAGCTCGGAGGCTTAAGGCAAATTCCAACACACAATCACACGACTCCAAACGGACGATCGTTCTGTCCAGATTTTGTCTGTTTCGTAAGACAATGAGACGGCGTCCGTTCGTTTTTTCGGATGCGTCGGCCGTGCACCCAACGCGCAGTCGCATTTGGTCCGTCATTGTCAAATTTTATGAATTATGCACATTGTAACCAAATAAATCAAACATTGCAAATAGTTTTACAAGCAAATAGTTTCACGTCCAAATAAAAACACAATCAAATAGTTTCACGTCCAAATAAGAACACGATCAAATAGTTTTATAACCCAATCAAAATTGTCTTGAATAGATGAACAATAAGTAAACCAATACATCTACAGGTTGTCAATGTGAGTCCACATGTTCTTAACCAAGTCATCCTGGAGCTGTATATGAGTATGCCAATCACGCATTTCACGATAAAATTGGACAAACTGTTCAAACGTTGCCGGTTCTTGGTGCTCAAGCTCAACATTTTCACCCTGAAAATCAAACCCTTAGTCGTAAATGTTGTCATCACGCTCATCCTCCATGATCATGTTGTGCATGATCACACAAGTGATCATCACCTCCCAAAACTTTTCGGTGCTCCATGGCAATGCAGGGTATCGAACGATACCCCATCAAGATTGAAGCACACCAAAAGTATGCTCCACATCCTTCCTACCACTCTCTTGCATTTGGGAAAATCTCTGTCTCTTATCTCCTTGCGGATTGGGTATTGTCCGCACAAGAGTTGACTAATGAGGATATATACCATCAGTTAGGTAGTATACCTCGTTGTAATTATGACCATTGATATTAAAGATGACCTCTGGGTCGAAAATCCGGGTTGCCTAGCTCTGGTGGTGGTGCCACAAGTCGGCGGTTATAAGATTACTAAAGTACTCATGGATGGAGGAAGCAGCATCAACATCTTATATTATGACACTTCCAGACGCATAAATTTACCAGAGAAACAACTCTCGTCATCTTCCATAGTCTTCCATGGGATCGTTCCTAGGAATTCTGCTTATCCTATTGGGCGGATTAAGTTGGAAGTGGCGTTTCAGGATGAATACAGTTACAGATCAGAACTCTTGACGTTTGAGGTAGTTAAGATCAAGAGCCCTCAAGCTCAAGATGCCTGGGCCCAAGGGCGCCATCATGGTTGATGGTAACAGGAAAATTGCTCATGAGTGTGAAGAAGGGGACGCAACTTATGCTGAATCGACATGCGTTGGGGAGGAGTTGAAGTTTTATACGTCCAACGTTGACCCGGCCGACATGACCTCCCTGAAGAAGCCCACCATGGAATCTGACCCGCCTCTCAAGTTTAAGGCGGCCGAAGACATGAAGCAGGTTGAATTCATCCCTGGCGACTCATCTCAGTAGTTCACCATTGGGACAGGCATGGATCTCAAATAGGAAGGCACGCTCATCGAATTCATCCGTGAGAATCGGGACATCTTTGCATGAAAACCATCTGACATGCCTGGTGTAACGAGAGAATTCACTGAGCACCACCTTAATGTTGATCCCAAGATGAAACCACTCCGGCAGTACCTCCATCATTTTAACAAGGAGAGACGAAAGGCTATTGGAGAAGAAGTGGCTCGGCTCCTAGTTGCCGGGCTCATCATGGAAGTATTCCATCCCGAGTGGCTGTCCAATCTAGTACTTGTTCTAAAGAAGAATGTTACTTGGCATATGTGTGTTGATTACGGGCGACTGGCGCGTCAGATAAGCCGGCGACTGTTGGGAAAACGTAGCATGGAAAACAAAAAATTTCTATGCACACGCAAGATCTATCCATGGAGAAGCATAGCTACGAGAGGGGGAGAGCATCTTCATACCCTTGAAGATCACTAAGAGGAAGCGTTTATCAACGCGGTTGATGTAGTCGTACACCTTCACGATCCGTTCCTATCAAGTACCGAGCGTACGGTACCTCCGCGTTCAACACACGTTCAACTCGGTGAGGTCCTTGCCTTCTCGATCCAGTAAGAGGGGAGAAGTAGTAGATGAGTTCCAGTAGCACGACGACGTGGTGACGGTTGGTGATGAAGAACAATCTCCGCAGGGCTTCGCCAAGCACTACAGAAACAAGACGGAGGATAAACTAGAGGGGATGGGGTTACCGGCACACGGCTTGGTGAATCTTGATGTGTCTTGGGTGCTAGCCCTGCCCCTCTATTTATATGTTGAGCCCTGGGGTCAAAACTTGGACTAAAAGCCTCCTTGTCGGTGTCAAAACTGGCGGATCTCGGGTAGGGGGTCCCGAACTGTGCATCTAAGGCGGATGGTAATAGGAGGCAGGGGACACGATGTTTTACTCAGGTTCGGGCCCTCTTGATGGAGGTAAAACCCTACGTCCTGCTTGATTTATTCTTGATGATATGAGTATTACAAGAGTTGATCTACCATGAGATCGGAGAGGCTAAACCCTAGAAGCTAGCCTATGGTATGATTGTCTGTTGTCCTATGGACTAAAACCCTCCGGTTTATATAGACACCGGAAAGGGCTAGGGTTACGCAAGGTCGGTTACAAAGGAGGAGATATACATATCCATATTGCCTAGCTTGCCTTCCACGCCAAGTAGAGTCCCATCCGGACACGAGACGAAGTCTTCAATCTTGTATCTTCATAATCTAACAGTCCGGCCAAAGGATATAGTCTGGCTGTCCGGAGACCCCCTAATCCAGGACTCCCTCAGTAGCCCCTGAACCAGGCTTCAATGACGATGAGTCCGGCGTGCAATATTGTCTTCGGCATTGCAAGGCGGGTTCCTCCTTCGAATACACCACGGAAAAATTAGAATACAAGGATAGTGTCCGACCCTGCAAAATTAGTTCCACATACCACCGTAGAGAGAATAATATTTTCACAAATCTAATCTGCTGACTTGTTTTGGTAACATGACATTATGCCATGGCCCGGTGATTATTTGAACCGTTTCCTTCAACTAGCCCCGCACATAACGCGAGGCAGTTTTTTGACACGTCTTGTCAAAGCAGAGATTGTGTCCCCCTTATTACGGCATTCTCATCAATACGGGCATGGGTAACCCAACCGCGCCTAGGACTCCTAGATTTTAGGCAAGTCCCAAACGGCCACGAGGAGGACGCTTGATATTCACCCTCTTTATAAAGGGTCAAGGTTTTTACTTTTTTCCTCCCGTGCTCAATCGAATCCTTCCCCCGCCTCGAGTTCCAACACCCAAAGCCCAGGTCAGGTGCTTCGGACCTTCAGTCATGTCCGGATCCAGCCTCCAGGGCCGGTGGATGCCCTCATCCGTCACGGAAGAGGATATCAAGAAGTTGAGGGAGGCAAGATACTTGACCGCCGAAGTCTCGCATCGGCTGCCCGCCCGAGGGCAGGTCGTCCCTTCTCCCAAACCCAACGAGGACGTCGTGTTCATCTCCCACTTCCTCCGAGGACTAGGCCTCACTCTGGATCCCTTCGTAAGGGGTTTGATGTTCTATTACGGGCTTGATTTCCACGATCTAGCCCCAGATTCCTTTCTCCACATCTCGGCATTTATTGTCATATGTGAGGCCTTCCTCCGTATTATCCCTCACTTCGGCCTGTGGCTC